TATTTGCTTCTCCCTTTGCTACCATCTACGTTACCCCGTGGACCCACCCCTACCTATTCTGCCCTTTCCGTAACCCTCGTAACTGCCTTCGTCACAGCGTTCAACTGTTGTCTCGGTTCCGGTATGTTTCTCAAGTGGCCCGCTCAAGCCTGCTACCGAGCGAGCCCCGCATCAAACGAAGAGGGGGGAAGAGTATGGACGCGCATGGATTCGTTCACACAATGTACACCCGCAAATAAACCCGCCAGTACGCTACATATCGCCAGCGGGTGCCGAAATAAACTATGTCGAGCTACTCGCACACACTCATACGACTAAACACATCAATAAACGGAGCAAGGACGGATAGACAAACATATATAGATAAAAACAACAAAGTAAGATAAACTGAGTTGCATGCCAGGAAAGCAGAACTGATAGGGGAAAGTAGACGCAACAAATACACGGTACAAACACAAACGAAAACGCGTCAGGCACCGGTTCCTACCGCGTATTGTGCACATGGGGCACGCAATAGCTCTACGACACGCCGAAGAAAACAGCTATATAGGGAGGGAAAAACCACCCAAGGGCGAAGTCATTGGAGCGATGAGGACCGGACTATCACTGAACACGTGCAGTGTTGTTGTTAACGGCGAACACGCGCTCAACAAAAGGTGGCCAAGGGCAACACGGCGGTGAGGGGCATTGGAACCTCAGCCACCGCGCAGCAGCAAAACAGCTGGAGCTGTGGAATATACAGACAGGTGAATAGCTCGTGCTTGAGGAAGGAGGGGGCAAACAGACGCCTCCAATCGAGCTACAGGGCTATGTGGGGAGCGCGGAGGCTGTACTGAGCGGCGCTACAATGTTAGAATATACATAGTGCACGTGGTACAGTCTAAAAGCGTTTATTGTGTGGTTNTGAGCGGCGCTACAATGTTAGAATATACATAGTGCACGTGGTACAGTCTAAAAGCGTTTATTGTGTGGTTAAAACAAATAAAACGTTGAAATCTTAGTTTATACGTTTCGTGATACTTGATAGGCCTTGGGTGCGGTGTGGCTGGGCCCAGGGTTAGGGCTGGCAGTGACGGAGCCGGCACCGAGGTTGCCCGTACACCGTGAACACAGGGAGAACGTTTCTTTAAGAGAACTAAGCAAGTTGACAATGTGGTTTTGCGCTTTTTAAAGGATGAATCAGATGTTTGCTCTATAGAGACAGCGATTCATCTACTGTAGTCAGTTCGGGATCCACATACAGGAGCCGAGCTGGGCTTAGCTGACTCCTGCGCAGCAGCAGCAGCAGCAGCAGCGGGAGGCGGATCCCTTGGTCCTGCGTTCCCTGTACCCTTCAGAGGCAACGGAACGCCTACAATACCTTTTATTTCGTTGATAAAACCAACAAAACCCAACCAAAGAAATGCGCGAGGCCCTGGCTGCCACGGCCGCAGCGCTACAACAAACATGTAGGCCGCCTCTCCACCTCACAAGCCTTGCTGCTGCATAAAGTGGGGTGCGGCGGGCCCATCTGCTTCTCGTTTTAATTTTGCTGCCCTCTCTCAAGAAGAAGTGCAGCTGCAGCTGCAGGGGGAGGGCTCCTTGGCCGTCAAGAAGCAGGAGAGCCCCGCAGGGGACTCGCACAGGCAGCGCTCCCTGCAACAGGAGCAGCAGCAGCAGCAGCAACAACAACAGCAACAGCCCAGTGTAGCCAATCTCCACTTAACATAGCTGCTATTTCAGGAGGAGGCGGGCCTAGCGGGAGGCCGGGAGACCGCGTTCCCCTCCTCCACGGAGCGGAGCTAGGGGCTGGCGAAGCTGCTGCAGTGCCTCTCTTCATTCATCAGCAGCGTCGCAGCTGCAGCGGCAGAAGCAGCAGGCGGGTTGCGTGAGGAAAGGGGAGGTGCAGGCCGCTTGCTGTACTGCAGCAGCAGCTACAGCAGCAGCAGCAACAGTAGTACAGAACGCTGCTACCTTGGGCCGAACCCACCGCGTCGTACTGCTGCGCCTCTCTCTGTCTTTATTTAAATCCCTTTGGCGATGGGCGGTGGAGGGTCAACGGTGCGCAGCGGCCGCATGCTGCTGCAGTTGCTGCGGCTGCCGCTGCTGCTGCTGCTGGTAGTGGCGCTGCTTCTGGTTGCATTGCGCGTTCCCCCTGCTGCATGCGGCGCTGTGAGCAGCGATGCATCGCTGGGGGCCTCTGGNCAGCAGGGGCCCCCTGAGGGCCCCCCGAGGCCTATTCGTGCAGCAAATGTTGCAACACAGCGACGGGTAGGAGGAGCAAGAGGAGCAACAAGAAAGATGAAGACAGCTAGAGCAGCAACAATGAGGAGTTTGTCTGTGCGGCCATCTCGGCGGGGCCTGACAGCAAGAGGAAGGGGGGGGTTACTTGGTGCTGCACCAGGAGGAGATGCAGCAGCACTGCAGCGATCCACGCGGCTGATGCTGGAATCTTATAGAAGAAGCACAATGACGTTAAAGGCGCAGCAGAGGTCAGGCAAGCAGTCTGCTCTGTTGCTGCTTGTATCTGTTGCTGTTGTTCTCGCTGTGTCTGTTGTTCTAGCTGAGAGGAAAGCAGCAGCAGCAGAATACGCACGTGAGATAGAGGAAGGGAAAATGCTATCGGATGCAGATAAAGCATCAGTGCAGCAGGATCTTGTTTCTGCTGCTGCTGCTGCTGCTTATGCCCGCCGAGAGATGGACGCATTGCTGCAGCGGGAGAGATCAGCTAAGGAAGCTTTGAAGCTGCTGCAGCAACGAAGGGAAACAGCATCATCGCGTGCAGCACAGGCGTTGCTGGCAGCGCATGCAAGCAGTGATGAGAATGTAGCTCGAGCTCAAGCAAGAATAGAGAAAGCTGCAGCCGAAAGAGATGCAGCAAAGCAAGAACTGGAGGCATTGCTGCAGCTCGATGGACTTACACCTGAAAAAGCGGGAGAGTTTCTCGAGTCAGCTGCACAAGAGTGGGCGCGATGGACGCAGGAGGAGGAGCAGGTGACAGCATCACTAGCTGAGATACGTGCTGCAATGGAAGCAGGAGCGAAGCAAGAAGTACAGAGGAAGGTTGTTGAGCTGAGTGCTGTACAGCAGGAATTAGAAGCTTTAAGAAATGAAGTTCAGTTACTAGAAGGAGAAAATGCAGAAGAAAGGGCAAAAGGTAGTGCAGGATCTGAACTAGAGAAAGCTGTTGCTTGCTTACAAGAGGAAAGAGCTGGATTGCTGCAACAAGTGCTGGAGGAAAGGCAACAAGTAGACAATATATCTGCAGGTAAAGAGGATTTAAAAAGAGAAATCACAAAAATACAAGAAGCAATAGATGCAGCTCAAGCAAAACTTGTTGTATTAGGTAAAACACCAACAACATGGGTTGCCGTAGATACATCGTTGCTGTTTAAAGAAGAAATTCAGCTTATAGAGGCACAGCGACGTGTACAGCTGCTGAAGGCGCAGCAAGAGTTGTTGAGTGAGGAGTTTAAAGATATTGATTTATCTGGGGAAGAGCTAGAAGTAAAGAGAACAGAAAGCGAACTCCGGCTTAATACAGATAGCAGCGAGGAAGTAAGAAAAGCCCTAAAGGAAGCTGCAGATGCAGCAAAAGCTAGATTACAGGAGAAACATATAAGAGCATCAAAGTTGTTTACTCTTCGTGCATCATTAGAAAACGATGTAAGAGCAGCACAGAAAAACGTAGAAAGATGTAAACAAGATATAGAAAAGCTGAAAGAAACACTACCAGAACGACTAAGATTCCCTGCTGCTTTTGGTTTAGCTCGATTGCTTGAAGTAGATAAAGAAATGGCTAAGCTTCATATGATTGCTTTTAATGCTCAAGAAGAAGGCCATGATTTCTCCTCACGGGCATTCAAATATAAACCAAAAGATACAAGCGCAAGGAAATTTTGGCGTACATTCGTTGAACCAGCAGCGAAGAAATATCTTGCAGCTGTTGATGAAATGATAAAAGAAAATGCAACTCTACATATAGCTGAAACAGAAGCAACAGAAGAATTATATAGACAGAGAGAGATGCATCGGCTGCAGGCTATGACGGTTACTGAGCTTCTTATTGCTTTACAAGAAGGAGTTGAATCAGGCGTTGGCGCGGAACTAGTACAACGTATATGGGAAGAAACACAAGCAAAACTAAGTGAAATGGAGATGAAACTTGAACTATCAGAAGAATTGATAGAAACGCTCGAGGTAGAGGCACACGGAATGAAGTATGAAGGGTGGGATGAGAAGAGGCCAGCAGCACAGATTCATCATACAGCAGCAATATTTGTTGTAAAAGCAAGACATGATGTATATGAATCTATTGTACAAAGGTTACAAAGAAAAACAATAGATGATGTAAAACGACAAGTAGAAGAAATGCTAGAAGATGCTGCATGGGGTGCACTCAGGAACAGAGCAATGTATGGAAACGATATGTTTGTGCAAGGTATGATATATGCAAAGAGAGAAGAAGCATTGAACTCTGAAGAAGAAGCTCTTCAGAAACTCAAAGAAAAATATCTAGCAACAGAAAGAGAATATGCACCCACACTCGTCGCACCCAAGCCAACTGAACAAGAGCCAGCTGAGGCTGCCGATGAAGCAGCACCACCAGAACCAGCACAAGAAGAAGAACAGCAACAAACTGCTGTAGATGGGCCTCCACTNATGAAGCAGCACCACCAGAACCAGCACAAGAAGAAGAACAGCAACAAACTGCTGTAGATGGGCCTCCACTACCAACGGAACAGGCAGAGCCAACACAAGAAGTTGCAACTCCCCAGGCAGCAGAAGGCCAGGAGGAGGAGGAGGAGGAAGAAGAAGAAGAAGAAGAAGAAGAAGAATACGACGAAGACGAAGACGAAGAAGAAGACAGCGATGACGGTGTGCTGATGTATGCGGGCGAAGAAGTAGATGAGATCCCTGAAGGAGAAGATCATATGGACCTTGGTGAACTTGAGGGATTCACAATGAAAAATGTATTGCAGCTGCGTACACCAGAATTCAGAGAAAGAAGCGGCGAAGGAAACCTGAAACTGCCTCGAGAGGAAGAGTTCCCGACACCGCAAATGAGCCAAGAAGAAAGAGATGAACTACGAAGGGCAAGGCAACTCAGACAAAAGAAAAAATAATTTATCCTCATTACAACCCTATTCACATCCACGCCGCGCTGATGCTGAGACCATGTGTGTTTCATACACACACAAACACAATTGCCTTCCAAAGGAATGGCGAATCACCAGGAGCTAGCTGCATACACGGCTAGCTGTGTAGCTAGCTGCCTAAATAGCTCAGCAGCTAGCTGCATAGCTAGCTGCACAGCTGGCTGCGTAGCTAGCTGCCAAGCTAGCTGCATAGCTGGCTGCTCAACTAGCTGCTCATCTACATCGATAGCAAGGAGCTAGCTAAGCAGCTNGCTAGCTGCATAGCTGGCTGCTCAACTAGCTGCTCATCTACATCGATAGCAAGGAGCTAGCTAAGCAGCTAGCTGCTTAGCTAGCTATATAGCTAACTGCACAGCTAGCTGCACGGCTAGCTGCACAGCTAGCTGTCCAGCTGCTGGTGGCGCAATACGAGCGCTTCGGGGCCAGCTTCACACTTGCTTCTCCCCAAGCAGCTCAGAAGAAGAGGCCTCTTTCGGTGGGGTGTATCTTCAACTAGCGCCTCGCAACTAGACAGATTTTTCATGAAGGCGCCTAGCTAGCTGCCTAGCCAGACAGCTAGCTGGGTTGCTATCTAGACAGCGCTCGCGGCCAGCGTTGGATGCGCCTCCATGCGGGGACCAACGGGGGCGTGGGGGGGGCGCCGCTGCTGCGTGCGTTTGTATTTGCCGTGCGGTTTATGTACACTGGGCATTTTCTGCACGCGTAGGAGTAATGCGAGTGCATCGGCGTTGCTGCTGCTGCTGCTGCTGTTATTTCTGCTGCAAGCGTTTGCTGCCTAGGGTCAGTGAGCTGCTCCTTGCCTCTCCCTGGCCTCTTGTGCAGCAGGGGGCCCCCATAAACAACATCTGCCCCAGGGGCCCTGGGGCCCCTGGGGCCCCTGGGTCCCCACATCTGCAAGCAGCAGCCCCTCCTCAGCTGAGCGAGGCGGTACAGCAGCACGCAGCT